AACCGGGCTTTTTTCCCGGTCCAAATACAAGGGTTTTTATTGGCCCGCCCACGATCAGTTATTTCTATTGGATACCGAAATGCTGGTCAAAGATTTGAAATTTAATTTAATTCAAATTGTACAAGTACTTAGTAACGAATGTGATTTTTAAAGTAGCGAAGTACATTACTTAACTTAATTTGTACTTAAGTACAAGGAAAATTACAGACTTAAAAATATACTCATAAAAGTACAAGTACACGAAAAAACTACTTAATTACAGTAACGTGAGTAGTTGTAATTCGTTACTTCCACCTCTGCGCTACAGTAAACTAGATAATAACTTATAACACAAACACAATATAAAGTCAGAACCTTATTAACAAGCACAGTGACTATCGCCAAGGACATTGTTTTTGTGATTGTAAGTATTAATTTAATTCGAATATGATATCTATGAAAAATGTTTGTTTTGTACACTGTGTTGTTCAAACATATGTAAGCGTCTCGTTAGTGTCATTTTAAGTAGGGTAGTTTCAGCTGGCTAACTAGCAGTAGCTATCATGTCTAACGTTAGGTCCAGAGCCGGACAGTAACGGAGTACATTTACTTGAGTACAGTACTTGAGTACAATTTTGAGAGATCTGTACTTTACTCGAGTATCATTTTTGGGGATTACTCATGACTTTACTCAAGTACATTTGAGAGGCAAATATTGTACTCTTTACTCCACTACATTTCTATCCATAACCGTGAGTACCCGTTACTTCTAAAAAAAAAATTTAAAAAAGGAAAAAAGAAAAATCTCGGAAACCCTCAATTTGTTGTTTCCCTCTCAAACGTGATTGGATTGTGCAGGCGCCACTGATTGGGACAGCCTATCAGCAATCACCTTTCCGCCAAAGTCAACTCCATGGTCAGATTTAGATAAGAGACGAAACAGGTTCAAATGTGGGCGCAAAAAATCCATTAAAACTCTAGCAGAGGTTTGTCAGAGCGTTGCCATTGTACATTGCTTTGTGGGCAAGTGAGAAATGTTAAATAAAGCAACATGGTAAAAAGATGAAAATGACTTGAATTAACTTTCAATTCCTTTTAGATTATCAAAGGTATTAACATTAACATTTTTCATAACTCCATGTAGGACGTTTCTGTACATAAATGTAAGCACGGTTCGCGTACCTACCCCAAAGTGATAAAATAAAATTCTGTATCAAATTTATAGGCAAAGACAAGTAGTTTGTTTAGGCTGGTTTGTAGGGACTAACAAACCTGCGCACATACACTCACCGGCCACTTTATTAGGTACACCTGTCCAACTGCTCGTTAACACTTAATTTCTAAGCAGCCAATCACATGGCGGCAACTCAGTGCATTTAGGCATGGAGACATGGTCAAGACAATCTCCTGCAGTTCAAACCGAGCATCAGTATGGGGAAGAAAGTTGATTTGAGTGACTTTGAACGTGGCATGATTGTTGGTGCCAGAAGGGCTGGTCTGAGTATTTCAGAAACTGCTAATCTACTGGGATTTTCACACACAACCATCTCTAGGGTTTACAGAGAATGGTCCGAAAAAGAAAAAACATCCAGTGAGCGGCAGTTCTGTGGGCGGAAATGCCTTGTTGATGCCAGAGGTCAGAGGAGAATGGCCAGACTGGTTCGAGCTGATAGAAGGGCAACAGTGACTGAAATAACCACTCGTTACAACCGAGGTATGCGGCAAAGCATTTGTGAAGCCACAACACGCACAACCTTGAGGCGGATGGGCTACAACAGCAGAAGACTCCACCGGGTACCACTCATCTCCACTACAAATAGGAAAAAGAGGCTACAATTTGCAAGAGCTCACCAAAATTGAACAGTTGAAGACTGGAAAAATGTTGCCTGGTCTGATGAGTCTCGATTTCTGTTGAGACATTCAGATGTTAGAGTCAGAATTTGGCGTAAACCGAATGAGAACATGGAACCATCATGCCTTGTTACCACTGTGCAGGCTGGTGGTGGTGGTGGTGTAATGGTGTGGGGGATGTTTTCCTGGCACACTTTAGGCCCCTTAGTGCCAATTGGGCATCGTTTAAATGCCACGGCCTACCTGAGCATTGTTTCTGACCATGTCCATCCCTTTATGGCCACCATGTACCCATCCTCTGATGGCTACTTCCACCATGTCACAAAGCTCTAATCATTTCAAATTGGTTTCTTGAACATGACAATGAGTTCACTGTACTAAAATGGCCTCCACAGTCACCAGATCTCAACCCAATAGAGCATCTTTGGGATGTGGTGGAACGGGAGATTCGCATCATGGATGTGCAGCCGACAAATCTGCGGCAACTGTGTGATGCCATCATGTCAATATGGACCAAAGTCCCTGAGGAATGCTTCCAGCACCTTGTTGAATCTATGCCACGAAGAATTGAGGCAGTTCTGAAGGCAAAAGGGGGTCCAACCCGTTACTAGCATGGGGTACCTAATTAAGTGGCCGGTGAGTGTATATTCGAACACACATATAGAATCAATTCTTAATGCGCATGTGAACGCCATCAGCGTTTATCACAGGTTCAGTTTTAAGTCTGTTTAGAGAGACGGCGTCGTCTTAGCCGCCCCTAATTTAATAACAAATGATAATTTCAACGGAAGTGAATCAATCAAAACTAACTTTAGCTGAAAATAACATTATTCAAGAATCGCTATAAAGTCAAAACAATCTCTGTTACCTTAAATTATGTTTATCTCTGTAAAGCTGCTTTGAAACAATCTACATTGTTAAAAGCGCTATATAAATGAAGATGACTTGACTTGACACTGTGGCAGTAGTAATACAATATTTAGAAAATTTACTCTTGTACTCTTGATACTCAAGTACTTTTAAAAACAAGTACTTCAGTACTTTTACTTAAGAAGACATCTGACTGTAGTACTTTTACTTGTACTTGAGTAAAATTTAGCAAGGGGTATCTGTACTTTTACTCAAGTAACGAAGCTGTGTACTCTGTCCGCCTCTGGTTAGGTCACAGCTCTGAACCAAAACTACGACATTACTAGTAGATTAATGCATCCTGAATTAAAGTGACAGCGCATGGTTCGTGGTCAAAATGAAGTACCACTCAGATTATCGAATGTAAATAGTTTTATCTCTAAAAACAGTTTAGCCTATAAAGCTAGTATAACGCTAGTATATTGGGCATAGTGTAATGACAAATAAAAATCGCTTGTTAATACCACTAACAAGGCTCAAAATAGCCCCACACTAACACAGTAACATAATGAGGGTCCCTACCTTCAAACCGAAGCATTGAGAACTTTGTCAGTGTCCAGACAGTTTAATAAGAAGATATTTTAAACATACAGTCAACTTCGCGTATACAGACAGGAGCCATCTTTGAAATACAGCCTTTACCAGTCAATCTACGAACGCCGATCCAAGCCTGCTGTTCGCGCTCACCTTATCACAACTTATAGCTCGTTCACATCTCACCAGCGCACTTGGATCGGCGTTCGTAGATCGACTGGTAAAGGCTGTATTTCAAAGATGGCTCCTGTCTGTATACGCGAAGTTGACTGTATGTTTAAAATATCTTCTTATTAAACTGTCTGGACACTGACAAAGTTCTCAATGCTTCGGTTTGAAGGTAGGGACCCTCATTATGCTACCGTGTTAGTGTGGGGCTATTTTCAGCCTTGTTAGTGGTATTAACAAGCGATTTTTATTTGTCATTACACTATGCCCAATATACTAGCGTTATACTAGCTTTATAGGCTAAACTGTTTTTAGAGATAAAACTATTTACATTCGATAATCATGAAAACAAATCTCAGATAACGGTTGACTAGGTAACAATGTGTAATTAGACCAAAGGTTCATTTTGCGCCGGAGTTCTCCTTTAAACCTGTAAAAAAATATATATATATATTTTCCTTCATAAAAATATAAACAAACTACGATAAAAATGCATCATAAACATTTTACATAACATTTAACTCATAATAAAGTATAATGATCTTTATTTACCATGAAGCAAAATTATATACTATAATAATTCTCTCACAGTTGAAACTTCTGGTCTTGAAGATTCACTTTATTCACTGTGACAAATTTAGATGTTTCTTTGTCCTGTCGCTCGTTGGCTGGTTAGGACAGATTTGGAAGAGATATTATTGCTTGACGGTATTATTGTCTCACGTTTGGTGAGGACACAGCATTAGACCTGAAAGTGCTGGATCTGAAGATGATCTACTTGCGGTGATTGTATTTTATATGACTGCGTAAAGAAGATAATTGAGTGAAACTCTTCCCACAAGGAGTGCAGTGATACGGTTTCTCTCCAGTGTGGATCCTCTCGTGTGTTTTCACATGTTCAGACCGACGAAATCTCTTGTCGCAGTGTGAACACTTGTAAGGTTTCTCTCCAGTGTGAGTCCTCCAGTGTTGTTTCAAATGTATACCGGTAATAAAACTCTTCCCACACTCAAAGCACTTATGATCTCTTACACCAGTATGTGTTTTCTGATGAAGTTTTAAATTCTGCAGATGTGAAAATCTCTTTCCACACAAAGAACATGAATGTGGTTTCTCCTGTGAATGAACTAACATGTGGCTCTTCAGGCCTGTGGACCTCGAAAATATTCTGCCACATTGATCACATTCATATTTTTTTTCTCTAGTGTGGATGTTCATGTGTTCCTGAAGGTTTGATGATTGTCTAAAACTCTTCCCACACTGATCACATATGAACGGTTTCTCTCCAGTGTGGACTCTCGTGTGAACCTTGAGACTTAGTTTGTATTTTAAACTCTTTCCACACAAAGAACATAAATATGGTTTCTCCTGTGAATGAACTCTGAGGTGGCTCTTTAGGGATGAAGCACACAAAAATGTTTTGCCACATTGATCACATTCATGCAGTTTCTCACCAGTGTGGATGATCATGTGTTCCTGAAGGTCTTCTTGTCGTGTGAAACAACTCAGACACTGATGGCAGGTGAAATGTTTATTTTCTCTTATTTTCAAAGAAATACTTTCAGTCTGTGATGGAGTTTTTTCTTCAGTTTTGACATGATGTTTCTCCTCTCCAATCTCCTCATTTTCCTCCATCGGGCCTGAAAGGAAAATAAAAATAACAATTTTAATGCATTTTTATAAAATAATTTCTACACATGAGGTATATCGTATGCTTATGGGAATATTCCAGCATTTATTTGTGAACTGATGTGAGCATTGGGAAAATAATGATAACTCCACTAAAAAAAACAAAGGAAGCTGCATACTTATTCTGTAGTAATTTTGGGTGTCTGTGGTAAAAATACCACTCAGATGGAGTCAGAATATAACCTTAAATAATAATAAATCATCTATATTTAAAAAGATTATGGTATTACTTTTCACATCTGACACGAACATACAAACTACAATGTGACACCCATTTTTAGAGTTCGGTTTTTCTGATTCGTCATTAACCGTATAACTGATTATATCCATCATTAATTTATTACCACATTATTATACCAAGAAAGCATAAATGTTTCTATCCTCATGAAATTCCCTCACAGATCGAAACTTAAAGTTTGAGGTCACATACATTAGATAACTCTAACATAATTACTCTAAAAATTATTGAATGATTTCAACATTTTCCAAAGATGTTCGTTTCGTGCTGAATTAAATCAGTCTACAGACGCCAGAAAAGACGCACATTTGGCGCTTTATCCGATGAAAACAATTCAGAAATAACCCTGTAAATGTTTCTGAAACAAACTGTGTAAAGTGTATTTTATGGGTGTGTAAATACGCGAAATATCTGACCTGCAGAACTCACCTCAGAAGACACAACAAACGCGCTGAACGAGGAAGGAAACTAATGATGACGTCAGCGCGGTGATGCGAGATAAACGCGCCAAATATTGCTAACTATTTATACCTATGATTTATACAACTAACATTTATAACATACACAAAAATAATGCGAAAAGTTAATGAACACAAAAATTAAATCTCAGTCATGTGTAGGTTGAAAATTAATTTATTAGACCCTCAAGGGTCCTTACAGACAAATGTGGGCAAAAAAAAAAAAAAAAAAAATCATTTAAAGAAAATAGTTTCCTTTATCTGAGAGGTACAAGACTTGTCTACTTTTCACATGAACACATGAACACACACGCACATTTTTTTTAACTCGATTAAAAAATGTTAAGTGGTTAAAAAAAACTTAATTTATTTTTCATGGACAAAAGTGGGCACATAGGAAATTAATGGGAAATACAATCATTCAGAGCAATTTTAGAGACTAAGAAACACTTAGAGACTCATATCACATACAAAAAGAGAAACTTGTTGATGTTGAGAAGTTGTAGTACTTTATTAATTACAATATTTTAAATAAATCCTGCAATCAAGTTCCTGTCTGAGAATGTCTTTTTGTGAGTGTATCTTTATTCATCAAAGAATAAAAAAAAAAAAAAAAAAAAAAAAAACAAAAAACATGAGGCAGCACAATTGTTTTCAACACTGATAATAATCAGAAATGTTTCCTGAGCATCAAATCATTATATTAGAGTGATTTCTGAAGGATCATGACATTGAAGAACGGCGTAATGATGCTGAAAATACAGCTTTGATCACAGGAATAAAAACAAATATTTTAAGTTGCACAATATTACTCTTTACTGTATATTGAATATAAAAATGCACCCTTGTTGAGCATAAGAAACGTTCAAAAACCAAAAATCTTACATCACAAACACAAGGGGGGGAAAAGGGCCTTAAAAATATTTTTCTCTACAAAACGGGATCTCACTTTATCATAAGTATCTACTAAATGCTGAAAGCCTAAAAGTGCTCTAGTATTACTATTATTCCTTGAATGACAGAGAACATAGAAAATAGCAGTCATATTAAGACAGACACTACTGTCACCCATCTTTATCAATCATTGTTATTTGTTCTTATTACATGGCTTGGTAGAATTCCAATGTAGAATGCGGTCTGTTATTTCTTGATAACAGACGTTGCTAAGCATAACACCGTTGCCATGAAAAACAGAGCGTTGCCATAGACGCAGTTCAGAGACGGAACGGACTATTTTCTTTAGCGGAAGCAATACAATCGTTTTTAGATCAATAAACTCCTTTTTAAATCAATATTTTGTGTCAAATTATTGATTTATTTGGTAGGTATAGCCATGTAATAAGCGGGATAATGTATAGCGAGGCGGTTGTTATAGCGAATACAACCCCTTCAGGCTCCGCGTCGGGCTCACAATCAGTCAGGTTTGTATTCGCTATAACAACCGCCTCGCTATACATTATCCCCTTACATATGATATGAATCTAAATTTCCTAATAACTACATTCATAACAATAAAGTAATTAGTTCCCTAGCATCAACGGTATATAGTTTGTAAAGAGAAACAGACATAAAACCTTCTTTAGATGGCAGAAACACAGCGGCACATCCAAAGAAAACCATTTCGAATGTTTATTTTTTATTTTACTAAAGCTGTGTAAAGAGAACTGCTCACCTCAGAAGACACGGAGTGTGCTACTCATTTCTTATTTGTGAATCATTATTTCCTACCCTCGCGTCTTGTAGGGGTGGAGCTGAGACGCGAGGGAAGGAAATGTAGTAATGTCACAGAAACTTTCCTTTTTTTTCCTCACGCAGGACTCGCGTTTAAGAAACAGGCATTCGTTAGATCTGACGAGCTGCACGTGCACAGACTCTCCCGCTATTAATGCACTATACATATATGAATAAACGGTAACACTTTACAATAAGGTTCATTTATTAAACATTAATGTAATAACTAACATGAACTAACCATGAGCAATACATTTGTAACTGTTTTTGTTCATCTTTGTTTTTGTTATTAAGAATAAAAATACCATAATATGTTTGCATATATTGAGGAAACATTAGTTAATATACAAATCCAGCTGGTCATTGTTTGTTCATGTTAGTTCACACACAGTGTATTAACTAATGTTAAAAAGATTTACAATAACAACCTTATTGTAAAGTGTTACCGAATAAACCATCTAATATGCTTTGAATAATCATACTACTAAAACTAAATGTAATATGGTGATTTAAATAATGTTTGCGCTTTCACTTTGAGGAGGGCCGTTCTGTGCATCACAGTTTTAATCACAAGAAAGCATGTGAAAATGACTATTCCCAGACTTAGTTCATCTAAAAATTTAAATTCTGCATTTACTCACTCTCATGTCGTTTTTGCCCGTCACGCATGCATTCGAACATCCGTGTTAACTGCAGTATGAGCGTCATTGTAAATCTTTATATCATATAAAGCCGTCATGTCTCTTCAGTAGACTTGGATTTAGATTAGACCACTCGATTTATTATTTTTATGATGCATTTGCGAATTTTTTTGGGATCTTTTCAGCTTTAGAGGAATGGACTTTTATTAGTGGTGCACGATATATCGGCCGCCGATATAATATCGGTCGATATGGTCAAATTTTTACACATCGGTATCGTTCCAATATCAAAATAGGGCCGATGTGAACAGGCCGATAATCATTCATGTGTATTTGACGTGTGTGTAGATGTGAGGGTGGAGGCGGGTATGTTTGTTTTTGCACGAGCGCATACATTACCAGCTGAAGTCCTGTCAGTTTAAACATCAACCGCAAGAAGACTGGAACTTGCGCGCTGTTTTCTGTCAGCCTTAAGGCCTGTTCACACCGGGACGAATTTCGCGCGCGATATTCGCCGACGTTTAACGCCTCGTGACTAAACAAAGGGCGCCAATGTGAGTGTGCACACCGACGCGAAAAACGCCACGTGTAAAAGCGTCATTTTTTTTAAAAACGCCTCGGGTTCGTTTTTTTGGTTTGACGCGCCACGTCAATAACTATCCGACCAATGAGATTGGCGCTTTTGCTCACGTGTCTGGAGCTTCTGAAGTTACAGTAAAACACAACTTGGGGGCGCTCAAACACAAACCGGTCTTGCCGAGCACACATACGTAACGGCGAAAAAGATATACGCCAAGTAGCGTCTACTACACCATAGATATCCATAATAAAGCCTAGATGTCTCGTCCGCGCTGCTGGCCAAATATGGCCTTTATTATGGATATCTATGGGCTACACTGCCGGGAAGAAATAATACGAGGAAGATGCGAGGCAAGATGAATGTAGAGCTGCTGGTCTCGTTGGTGTCGGAATATAAAGAACTATGATAAACGCAACAGCGACTACAAAATAGGACTATTTCTGTTTTACATTAAGCGCCATCTAATGTCAGGGAATGAATTTGCATGTTCACTCGGCTCATCGTCAGCGAAAATCGCTTGGGTGTGAACACAAAAAACGTGTTTAAAAACACTGACGAATAACGCGCGCCGATATTCGTCCCGGTGTGTACGGGGCTTTACTAAGGGCCTGCTCACATATCGCGTCTTTAGCGCTCAAGTTCGTTATTTCAAATGTAGGCGCGCGGTCATAACGGAAGCGACGCGGTCACGGTGCGACGCGCTCGTTTTTTCCAAGCGCGTCCGCACCGCATCGAGATAAAAACATCTCAACTTTTCAGAATGCCGCAAGCGCACCATAAGCACACCGTAGGTCACGTGACAAGAACCAACCAGAGCGCAACCGCCCTAGCGCTTTGGAAAAAGGAGAATGCGGCGCGCCCAGCGTTTTCTACGCGTTTTTAGGTGCTATATGTGAATCCGGCCTAAGGCGTATTTTTGTCCCGCCAAAGCCTTATTTGACCGGTGAGTGATGTAGATGACTGACTGCTGCGCTTGTTTAACTGAGAGAACGAGCAGAGAGGGAAAGCCCCGGTCGCGCCCGCGCGCTCTCACCGTCTTCAAACTGTCTCCCTCCCTCGCGCATATTAATGAATTGAGTTGACTGAATATCTTTGAGAATACACGATGGTAAAAAGTCGGAAGACTGAAGTTTTTTTTTTTCCTGCCAACTACCGCTGGTTGTGAATTGTGCTAAATAACGTTGCCTTATCTTCTCTAAAAAGCTAAAAATATCGCAATGTAATTTTTTACCAATATCACGCAGCCCTAATCCTCGCTATGTGTTTTCTATACAGAGATATCGACATCGGTAAATATCGGTATCGGCCATAACAGCAATATTACTATCGGTTATCGGCCACAATTTTCACATCGGTGCATCACTAACCTTTATACTCTCAGGCTTCATAAAAAATATCTTCATTTGTGCTTGGAAGATTAACAAAATTCTTATAGGTTTGAAACGACATGAGGGTGAGTACTTGATGTCAGAATTTATATTTTTGGGTGAATTATACCTTCGAAATACAGTAAGCTGAGCCTTGAAAAAAACTATATCGCCCATCATTTCGTTTACATCGACGATTCATTGTCACATTTTTATATCACAATATCTTGATATATCATTACACCCCTACTAAAATAACATTACAAACTAGCATTAACCATTAAAACCATCACCTAATGGTTTCAGCAGCAGTGTTGCCAAGTTTGCTGTTTTTTCCACCAGAGATTTAGACAGTTTGACATATTATTGTAATTCACTGACATGCATTTATTGAAACATGATACATTCTACCAATGATAAAATTTGACTAGAATATTAATTTTGTGAGAAAGGGGCCTTTGAGCTCCCTTATGAGAATAGACTGCTTATGATTCCTACTAGTGATTTTCAAGATGAAATTGTTTATAACGCATAACATTAACAGTAAAATATGTATTTTAGGTATGGTATTGGCACATGTTGAGTTTTGATATTATATGGTCACTGGGCTTGTTTTTAGCTATTTTTGATTGGACTTTGAGCTGGTTTTGTTACACAGACCTTTTTAGTTTCCATTCAAACCAATACAATTCCCATTATAACCATTACAAATTCTTTCAAAGGGTTTGTATTGTTTTTTTCAGCAGGGTGGTTACACAGATTTTGGGGCCATTTAAACAACACCGGTTTAAACTAAAATTAAAAATGTATGCGTTTAGCCATCCATTTGCATGACACCTGCGTTTTGGGTGCCTTAAAATGCAGTTTTCAAAAGTATTAAAAAGAAACATTTATCTTAATGTAAACTACAAAATGTGAATCTGAGAAAACTGTGAAATCATGCACATGCGTATTACGTATTCAGTATTTCTTTACAAAGTGATTTGAAGGTGCTGGATCTGAAGATAAGCTACTTACTGTGATTGTATTTTATATGACTGCGTAGAGAAGATAATTGAGTGAAACTCTTCCCACAAGGAGTGCAGTGATACGGTTTCTCTCCAGTGTGGATCCTCTCGTGTGTTTTCACATGTTCTGAACGACGAAATCTCTTGTCGCAGTGTGAACACTTGTAAGGTTTCTCTCCAGTGTGAGTCCTCCAGTGTTGTTTCAAACGTATACCGGTAATAAAACTCTTCCCACACTCAAAGCACTTATGATCTCTTTCACCAGTATGTATTTTCTGATGAAATTTTAAACTCTGCAGACGTGGAAATCTCTTTCCACAAAAAGAACATGAATGTGGTTTCTCCTGTGAATGAACTAACATGTGGGTCGATAGGCCTGTAGCCCTCGAAAATATTTTGCCACATTGATCACATTCATATGGTTTCTCTCCAGTGTGGATGTTCATGTGTTCCTGAAGGTTTGATGATTCTGTAAAACTCTTCCCACACTGATCACATATGAACGGTTTCTCTCCAGTGTGGACTCTCGTGTGAACCTCGAGACTTCGTTTGTATTTAAAACTCTTCCCACACAAAGAACATAAATATGGTTTCTCCTGTGAATGAACTCTGAGGTGGCTCTTTAGGGATGAAGCACATACAAATGTTTTCCAACATTGATCACATTCATGCACTTTCTCAATAGTGTGGATGATCATGTGTTCCTGAAGGTCTTCTTGTCGTGTGAAACAACTCAGACACTTATGGCAGATGAAATATTTCTTGTCTCTTTTCAGTGAAGAAATACTTTCAGTCTGTGAGGGAGTTTTTTCTTCAGTTTTGACATGATGTTTCTCCTCTCCAATCTCCTCATTTTCCTCCATCGGGCCTGAAATGAAAATAAAAGTCATAATTTGAATGCATTTTTATAAATTGATTTCCACAAATGAGGTATATTGAAGGCTGATGGGAATATTCTATCATTTATTTGTCAACTGATGTGAGCATTAGAAAAAGAATAATTCAGTTAAAAAACGTGGGAAGTGGCAGCGCATTTCATTCATATGTTCACATTATTGTGCATATTTGCACTGTAAACTTTGGGCATTATAGTTATTCTGAAGTAATTTTGGGTCTCTGCAGTAAAAAGAAAACGTTTGAGTTCAGACCGTCAGAATATACCCTTAAATATTATAAATAATCTATTATAAAAGATTATAGTATTACATATCACATCTGACAAACATAAACACTACAACAATATGACACCCATTTTTAAAGTTTGTTTTTTTCTGATTCCTGCCATTAACCGTGCATAACTGATTATGTTCATCATTAATTTATTGTTGTCACGTAAAAAACCAAGACAGCAATATAAATGTTTCCATCCCCATGAAATTTCCTCACAGATCAAAACTTAAAAGTTTGAGATTATACATTCATTAACACTACATTATCACTCTCAAAATGAAACATATGATAAAATCGTCCAGTTTGAATGATTTCAACATTTTACTCAGATGTTCGTATGGTAAATCAGTAAACATCAGTCTACAGACGCCAGAAAAGACGCATATTTGGCGCTTTATCCAATGAAAACAATTCAGAAATAACCCTGTAAATGTTGCAGAAACAAACTGTGTAAACTCTGTATTTTATGGATGTATAAATACGCGAAATATCTGACCTGCAGAACTCACCTCAGAAGACACAACAAACGCGCTGAACGAGGAAGGAAACTAATGATGACGTCAGCGCGGTGATGCGAGATAAACGCGCCCATTCTTACAAAAGAACAATTCATACAAAAATAACATTTATAACATACACTAAAATAACTCTAAAACTTAAAGTAAACAATAATTAAATCTCAGTCATGTGTAGGGTGAAACACATCTGAGAGGTCCACGTCTTGGCTTTATCTGAGAGGTCCACTCTTGGCTACTTTTCACAAGTTTGACACCTGAACAAACACACATTTAAAAAAAAAAACTTGATTAAAAAATGTTAAGTGGTTGAAAAAACGTAATTGGTCTTTCATGGACAAAAGTGGGCACAATTTAATGGGAAATACAACATTCAGAGCAATTTTTTTTAATATGTCCAATAAAAATCAATAAATCAACACAATGCACATAAATGAAGGGGTGAGCCTATAGCCTACAACTTTCTCAATGTGGCAAACACTCAGAAAACACTCAATGTGGCAAACACTCACTTAGATACAGAAATCTGATGTTTTTTGTAAGAAATAAATGATTACTCTGTCTCCTATGTCTTTTTCTTGCATGGTCATATTTGTATACTTTGTATAGTCTCACCCAACACAAATGGTTTTTAAAACTACAATTTTAACTTGTGATAAAATCTAAAACTTAAGAGGTTAAATTTGTCACAACAATGATTTATAGCTTATTTGCAGCCGTTGAGTATTGTTTTCAGGCTGTTGATATTTTTTTTCTATTTTTATAACATCATATGTCACCATAAGCCCTATTTGGACGGTAATTGTTTCTCATGGGGTCATTGATTTTATTGCCGTCCGAATCCAGAATGTCAATGTCAATCCCCGGCCGAATTACTACTGTTTTTTGACAAACAAAGGTCGTTGTGAGAGGCCGTGTGCGTCTGCGGCTGATTGTGGATTGCTCGTCAACTGAGTCTTCCTCGGTCAGAAGGAATAGGCAAATCCAATGGTGCAGTTTTGAGTATTTATTGAGGAGGAGTCAGGTACATGGAGATGATGATGGTTTACAGGTATTAATATGACAAATAGGTGTGTTTGTGTGTGTGTGTGGTTTTCTGAAACAGAAAATACAATAAAATGTATATTAATAAACATAGGCTATGGTTACACACAGTTGCATAAAGAAGTGACCCGCAGTACAACCAAAAATCCAATCTGGTAGGGTGAGACAAATGATCAATATGGCGATATATTGTTGGCCTTCTCCCTGCGGCTGCGATAAGATAATTGATATTCTGGAGCTTAATATCGATATTTTAATGAATAAAATAAGGCGCTCTAGATAGATTCCCCTGCTCCAAGCATCGCTACTACCTGGCTCCTTGAGGTAGTGCTCAACACATGAATGAGGGAAACGTGAACATGAGATAACTAGCCTAAGGAAAATAAGTTTTTAATTTAATAATGAGAAATAGTGTTTCATAAAAAAACGGAAAAAAAAACCTATCTTTAAATCCTCACTTGTCTGTCTTATGCTTCTCTGAGCAATGTTTGAACTTGGTGTTTTGAGCACTTCTTGCGTTGTTTTTGCCTTTTTACAATGACTCGCTTGGTTTAGTCCTCAGATGTAAGTCGCTTTGGATAAAAGCGTCTGCTAAATGACTAAATGTCTTAAAATGCCACCACAGCTGGAAAAAATCCTAGAGGAAACACTTAAGAGTTTTCCCTACTACAAACACTCAATCAGCAGGATGAGAACTGAGGATTTGGAAGCTGCTCTTGCCAGTCTCAGAGCTTCAGTTACTGAGAGCAGGGCAGTCTCAGTTGAGTGTCTGCTTTTGAAACCAGACTGATTGTTGTCCAAGAGGTTGTTCTGTGTAAGAAAGGAAGAGATCTGGTTGAAAACAACTCGTTCAAGTGTTTTCTCGACGAATGGAAGGAGGGATACCGGTCTGTAATTTTCCAGATGTGCTGGCTTTAGAGTGGGTTTCTTAAGCAGTGGGGTTACCTGAGCCTGCTTAAAAGCTGTGGGAAAGGTACCAGTGTGAAGAGAGGTGTTCATGATATGTGTGAGTGCAGGTACAACTGAGGAAGAAATGGCTTGAAGTAGATTAGTGGGAATAGGATCAAGGCAAGGCAAGGCAAGTTTATTTATATAGCACATTTCATACACAATGGCAATTCAAAGTGCTTTACATAGAAGAAATTAAAATAATCAAAACAAATAAGACTAATTAAAACAGTTTAGAATAAAAAATAAAATAAAGTAGTACTGGTCCACCCCTATCTGAGATGATGGAAGAGATTGAGCCGGTTTACGGTGCCACTGGACCTCAAGCCCAGGGACGTACTCTGCTGGGGTGGTGCTACACCAGTAATTCCCACTTCGCGTGCGCTGTCTGCTGCCGTTACCCTTAACTACGCTCTCAGCGACTTCTTATACTGTCAGCAGTATAACTAACTTACTCCTTCACTCGCCTCATCGGAGTGAAGACTCTCCTTCAAAATCTCTTCCAGAGATTATTAAAAAAATAAAAAACAAACAAAGACAAAACCAGTACAGTAAAAACAGTCGTACGAACAGTGGCACAGTGCTCATTCAGTAAATGCATAGCTAAACAGATGTGTTTTGAGTCTGGATTTGAATGTGACCACTGTAGGAGCACATTCTGATCTCCTCTGGAAGCTGGTTTCAGCTGCGGCTGGCATTATAGCTAAAAGCAGGCTCTCCATGCTTAGAGTGAATCCTTGGTATTTCTAGCTGATGTGATCACAATGATCTGAGTGATCTGTTTATATTCAGTGAGCATATCTGCAATATATTGAGGTCCTAACCCATTGAATTATTTATATACCAGTAATAATACTTTAAAGCTGCAGTCCGTAGCTTTTTCCCTTTTTGTCGCCATCTCTGTTCGAAATCTGTAACTGCAGTGATTCGCGGAATTATCATCTTTACGTGGGTTGTAAATCGGCATGAAACAGCGCGAATGAACACAGTGTTTTGAGGCGAGTGGTGCTGTCAGTCACCGCGCTGTGTGGATACTGTCATACAGAATCACAGATTCACTTTTTGAAAGCTTGACCAACATAAGAATTTTCACCGGAAAATGTCTTCTGAACAAGTAAGTAACATCCATTTTTGATCTGACCAACTAAGGGGGAAAAGCATTCGACATGACAAGCGATCGTTAGATTTAATCAGCGCGATTTACAGCAACCGTGCAAATCATAGCCTACTTTGTTCTCAAATTGTTCATGTTAACAACAGCATTGCGTGACTAACGTTATTTAATGTGTTTTATGATTACCTGTGTAGTTCAGAATTCATATTCTCCATAATAGCTAAACGAGAAAGGGACAACAAAGGAAACTCCATAACTGTGTGAATTAAGAAAACGTACTGTTACACGATTGAACTATTGAAATGTCTTACTTGTTCAGCAGAAAAAGCTTTCTCTTCTTCCGTTTCGAACCCCTTCGGGAGTTCACGCACCTTTCAAAAGCCCCACCGATGTGTATCCTTGTGTTCGCATGAGACGGTTTCTTTCTCTTTCCACCTTAAATCCGAAGTACGAAGTCTTTTGGGTTTTATAACTGGTTAATCTCCAGTTGACACTGATGATTGTTGTCTGCATCTTTCTGGATCCGCCATAAGTTTAATCATGTAAAGTGCTGCGAGAAAAGCCTATACATCTCTAACGTTACATCTCCTCACGCGCAGTATAGCCGGCTAGCCGAAACTCCTTCTTTATGTGTACGGGTGTGACGTAATGACGCAAAGACATGCTCGAATTTCCAGCGAAAACCCACCAGTACCACTGGAATTAAAATCATTATTACAAGCTAACCGTTTTGAATCTAGCTATGGCAAGCAGATAGTTTTGAACACTGGCTGAAGATGTTTTTTTTAAATAATTAATTTGGATTATTTTTAACTTAAAAAAGTTACGGACAGCAGCTTTAAAGTCAATCCTAAATGTAACGGGGAGCCAGTGTAAAGACCCGAGGACTGGTGTGATATGTTCATATTTTCTGGTTCTGCTCAGAATCCTGGCAGCAGCGTTCTGTATGAGCTGCAACTGTCTTATGGTCTTTTTAGGAAGGCCAGTGAGGAGTCCATTACAATAATCCACCCTGCTGTGATAAAAGCATGCACAAGTTTCTCTAAGTCTTGACTGGAAACAAAGCATCTAATTCTTGCAATATTTTTCAGATGATAGTATGCTGATTTAGTTATTGCTTTGACATGACTACTGAAACTAAGGTCTGACTCTAGAGACAAACAAGATTCCTGACTTGATTTTTAGTTTGTTAGACCCCTAGCGTCAAGGTATGCATTCACCTTGAGAACTTCCTCTTTGTTTCCAAACGCAATAACTTCAGTTTTGTCTTTGTTTAACTGAAGAAAGTTTTGGCACATCCAACTGTTTACTTCATCAATGCATTGGCACAGGGAGTCAATGGGGCTGTAATCGTTAGGCGATAGGGCTAAGTAGAGCTGTGTGTCGTCTGCATAGCTGTGGTAAGCAATTTTGTTCTTTCTCATTATTTGGCTCATTGGGAGCATATACAGGTTGAACAGGAGTGGTGCAAGAATTGAGCCTTGAGGGACTCCGGATGTCATGGATGTCCACTCAGACTTATGGTCTACTATACTCACATAATAACCTCTCCCTTCTAAGTATGACCTGAACCATTTTAGGACTGTCCCAGAAAGCCCCACCCAGTTTTCCAGCCTGTCAAGAAGTATGTCGTGATCGACGGTGTCAAATGCAGCACTGAGGTCGAGTAGTACCAGTACGGATAATTTCCCTGTATCAGCATTTAAGCGAATATCGTTTATTATCTTTATGAGCGCTGTCTCTGTGCTGTGATGCGATCGGAAACCAGATTGAAAATTGTCAAAGTATCAATTCGAGCTTAAGAATTTGTTCAGCTGATTGAAGACAACTTTTTCAATGATCTTGCCTATGAAAGGAATATTTGAGATCGGTCTATAGTTGCTTGCAGTTTTCAGGGACTTTGGAAAACTCCCAGAGATAAGTGAGGCATTTACCACTTCTAGGAGATCTGCTTCTAAGCTGTTTAACACACTCTTGAAAAAAGATGTGGGAAGTGCGTCAAGGGCGCAGGTTGATGTTTTAAGGTGCTGTACGGTTTCTTCCAAAATTGTGCCTTCAATTTCT